TTGCTCTGTAGCTTAAGCTGGCCTTGCACTCACTATGTAGCCCAGGTTGACCCTGAATTCACGTGATCCTCCTGCCTCAGCCTCCTGAGTGTTGGGATTACAGCTGTGCACCATCACATCCAGAAGAGCAACAATTTAAACCATGATATGAATGCTTTCTTTTTGATTACCATTCCTTTTATTGGATGAAGCTCTGATGAGTTTAGTATATGACAAATGCTCACTATGTTTCGAGAACCCCAAAGTCTCTACCTCTTTTTACATTGGCTGGAGGGTCAGGAATGGAGGCACGGAACTGGACCAGACACTGCTTGCTTGCATGAGTGCTTCATCTCATGAAGTGCTGATCACCGGGAGGGCAAAGGGTCTTCCATGAAATGTGCCTTGCAAAGAATATAATAAAGAAGCCTTATGAGAAGATGTAGTTAATCCGCCCTAATGCCACTTAGGCCCTGTTTCAGATCAAGAGTGACGAGTCTTGCTCAAAAGTGGGAGCCTGCCTGCAGGCGACATTTCTCCGATGGAGGATCACCACAGAACCCGGCCACTGGAAGTCTCCCTCATATAAGGAGGGATTTATTAAAGGAATTAATATCTTTGAAGGCTCACACAGCAATCTGATTTTCCTACAAGACAGATGAATGGCAGAGATTTCAAAACATTGGCTAGAAAACATCAATAGCCAATCCTGCTGATTTAATTTTTTCAATCCCTCGGGCATCAAAAGAAGTTGTGACTTGTCCACATTTGCCTCCAAAGCAAAGCAATATTGTAAATTAAAAATGACTGGAGCTTAGCTGGTTGCATCTCATTTTTAATTAGTTGGGAGTTTCACAATATCTGTGAACATTTCTTCAGCTCAGAAACTAAGGAACTTCCTCACATTTACTGTGAACAAAGTGCAGAGAGTATTTGGTGACTTTCACTTGACAGGCCAAGAAAAAATGTCTTGGATTCAGCTGCCTATTACAAATACTAAAAGAAATTGTATTTAATTGTGTCCATTTCTCTGCATTCTATTCTTAAGTAAGCAGATATTTCCTATTGTTTTAAACCATCTGGGAACTCACAAAACGTACACTCTTCAGTGATTGAAATTGAAAATGCAAACAGAGTCTGACAGCATAAGATACCTAGATCACAAAAGTGTAAGAAAAGCAACCGATCTTGCTTTATTTTATTTTTTAATTATAGGGAAGGGTCCACAGGGTGTTCAGGGTTTCACTACTAGATCGGAATCATAGTGATCTGCCTGTTTACAGCCTCCCAAGAGCTGGGATTACAGGTGCGCACCACCACGCCCAGTCTCAATTGCCATGTTAGTGTGCCCAAGGGGCGGAGCCAGCATGGCAGGCCCGGGCATCTAACCCCCAGCCCTTGTGCCCATTTGCAGGCACTTTAATCTGCTGACCTATTTGGCCGGACCTCCGATCTTGCTTTAGGCACTTTATGCCTAAAACACAAATCAGTAGAGGCGATAGTGGTGTGGGCCCAGACCTTGCTATCAGGTTTTCTTCTGAGAATAAAAGTGAAGAAGAGATCACGTGATACATAGGACTTATTGTCATTCATTCATTCAAGATATAAGCTCTCATGGAGGCCAGCTCCTGTTGTCCCAGCTCCTACAAGACTAGGGTAAGAGGGTCACTTGAGCCCAGGAGTTCCAGGCACCATCTGGAACAAAGGAGTTTCTGCCTTAAAAAACCAGAAACTAGGCCAGAGAGATGGCTCAGTAGGATAAACGCTTGACTGGCAAATGCAAGGATCTGAGTTCAATCCCCGGTTCTGCCAACAACAACAACAACAACAACAACAACAACAACAACAACAACTTTTCTGGGTTTTTTGTTTGTTTGTTTGTTTGTTTGTGTGCGGAACCGGGGATTGAACTCAGGCCCTTGCGCTTGCCAGGGAAGTGCTTATTCCACTGAGCCATCTCCCCGGCCCCTGTCAGGCAGTATTTTAAGTACTTGGAATAAAATAGCAAATAAGAAAGAAGCTTCTGACATCACGAAGCTTATAGTTATTTGTAGACAATTTTAGCCTTAAACAGTACTCTGACTTTGCATGGTGGTGCACACCTGTAATCCCAGCATTTGGGAGGCTGAGGCAGGAGAGTCACTTTCAGGTCAGCTTGGGCCACAAAGTAAGTTCAAGGCCAACCTGAACTGCACAGTGAAATTCTGTCTCAAAAGACAAAAACAATAACAATACTCTGTAAATAGGTAGGTGGTTCTGGGAGCACCTGAACTCTATAAAATGGTACTTTTGTCAGTTATACTTAATCTTACCTGAAGACTGTGTTACTAGAAATCTAAAATAAGGAGAAGCCAAGAGCAGGAATTTGTCAGTGTGTCCTCAGAGTGGGCTTGGGCAGAGGCCCTTCGACTTGCACAGTGAAGGTGATTGTGTCCAGCTAGCTTGAGGCCATTTGTCAAGGTCATCTGCTGTGGTTCCAAGGTGACTCATTGACCTTCAGCTGCAATGTGGCTTCCCACATAGATTTTCCTATAGAGGCTACACCCGCCCCATGCTGGGAATTTAACTTAGGGCCTTTATACTGAGCTACATACTCAGGCCTCTGGTATTCTTTTATTGAGACAGGGTCTTGCTACATTGCTATGTCATCTAGGGTAGGTTTGAACTCATGATCCTTTTGCCTCAGCATCCCAGAGTGGTGGAATTACAGAAGTACATCACTGTGCCTGGCTATAGTACTCATCATGAATAAATCAGCATCCTAGTCTTATGTAAGCATCTTAGGAGTTTTTTTTATCATGAATCTGAGCATTCTGGGTATTCTTCTTTTTTTTCTTTTCTTTTGCTTTTTTTTGGCAGAACTGGGGATTGAACTCAGGCCCTTGAGCTTGCCAGGGAAGCACTTATTCTACTGAGCCATCTCCCCTGCCCCAATTTCTGAGTATTCTGACAAGATTGAATTTTGAGAATTATAAAGTGAGCTCGGATCTCTAAATTTCTCCAAGGGTGGTTTCAAAATTTCTGGCATAAGAATCACCAAGGGAGCTTGTCAAATACACAGATTCCTGGAATCATGCAAGGCTATCCTCACACTGAGTTCGAGTCTCTGAGGAGGAAGAGGAGGTTTAAGGTCTGCATCTCTCAGGTAAGTCTAATGTACAGTAAAGCCTGGAAGTCACTGTGAAGCAGGCTCACAGCCAGTGGGTAGCAAGCCACTTTCCTAGGTAACAACTCCATCTTTACAACCACAACAACGTGCTTCAGTACCTCTTAGCAAGGCTTGGTGGTCCCTTCTGCTCTCCATCTCGTTTCTCACTGTCCCTCTCAACCATTCCATGCTTCAATCCTCTGGTGATACAACTTTCATGGTTCTGTGCCTTACATAGTTTGAAGGATTTTCTTTTTCATTTTTGGAGGCGGGGCAATAAGCAGCATCCCCAATCCCTGAATTTCAGTTTACTAATGGAAGCAGTTTGAGAGCAAATTATCATTCTTATCATGGATGATGCTAGATTGGAGAATTTGATTTTTAATTTTTTTAAGGAATACAAAATGATTCAAAAATATTAGAGATGATACAACATTTTATTAAACAAAGTAATAGGAATTTGACAATGGTTGTTCTGCTGCATAATGTCTTCAAGTTAGTTTAAGTTGAGAATGTGATTTAGACATAATGAAAGCTTTCTTAATTCTAACCTTCAACATTAGACATGTTTACTATTTTTCCTAGGAAACAAGAACTGAATACATTGCTGGCTTCTTTTGGCCGGCTCAGCTCCCCTGAGGGCAGGGCTGGCTCAGCGTGTGGTGCTGGGGATTGAACTGCGGCGCCCTGCGCCAGCCTAAGCTTGCACATTGGACCACTGAGCTATCTCTTCAGCCCCTTCTGGCTTGTTTCTCATGGGCAACTGATGACTGCTCAACTTATGTACAGCCAAGCCAATCAGAAAGAGGAAGAAGCCAGGAAGAGACTTCACTAAGCCTACTGAATTCTTGGTGCTAACACTAGTCAAAATAAGGAGTGAATGACCCGAGGATGGGTGTCCCTTGAGATAGAAGACTGCTCCAGGAGAGCCTAGTTTCTCTCTTGGCAATAGGCCCTGGCTTTTGCTCTTTGCCACCTCTAGGTTCTTGCTCTTTGTCACCACCATGAAAAGTTGTTCTTTGCCTTGGAGCCAGCTGAGTATGGACTGAAACCTCCAGTAACTCCAGGAATTGAACTCAGGAACTCGTGCTTGGCAAGACCACTTAAATATTAAAACAGAAATGTGAGCTGAACAATAAGATGTTCCCCTAAACAAATCAAGATTCACAGTCATGGAGTTTACTTGTGGCTCGAAACATAATACTGAGAGAGATTTTGAAGAAAATTTGAATGTGGGCTTATGTCTTACAACAAAGGCTTCAGAGACTTTAAAATAAAAGAAATCCTCTTTCAAGTGGACTTCATGTGCATGCTTAGTAAAGGATCTACAGGAACTACAGGGTCTCACTCTGTAGATCAGACTTGTAGTGATCTTCCTGTTTTCAGCCTCCCAAGCCCTGGGATTACAGGTATGTGCCACCATGCCCAGTCTCAATTGCATTCTCAGTGCGCATTGGGGTTGGGGCAGCTTCTATTTCTAAAATGTTGGAATCCACCTTAGAGAAAGCATTATAATATTGATGATGAAGATAGACTTAAGAGGAGAAATACTGGAGACTGGGAATATGATTAAAAAGCTGTAATAACAGCCCAGGACAATGTGAGGAATTAAACTAAAGAAATAAGAATGAGGATGGAAGAGACTGATTCCAGGACTCTCCTTCAGGTTATTCCTCAGTTTCAACCCATTGTGACAGTTGATGATTCAGCTGATAGCTGATCCCTGGGATGGACCTTCCAGCCACAGAGTCTCTGTCCTTTGCACTCCTGGAAAGAAAAGAGATGTGTGTTCCAGTAGCAGTCACTGCCCTTTCACATGGCCCCATCCCAGAGAAAGAACAGAGGGGAACTGTGGAGAGTATTTCTAAGTAAGATGGAAACTCTCCTTCTGGTCACGGCCATCTTGACAGGAGCTGTTGGTCTCCCAGTCTCTCAAGACCAAGATTGAGAAAAACGAAGTATCAGCGACAGCGATGAATTTGCTCCACAGTTTTATCTGCCCCCTTACCAATATCCATTTGGCCAATATCCACCAATCCTAAGCCAAGCATATCCAGGCTACAGATTTTACTTAGTTCCTTTCCCATCTCCTCAGTTTAGAGTTGTAGCTTCCCCTCCCATTGGAAAGTAAAGAAGAGAGAAGAGTCACAATGCAACTTAACATGAAACCAACAGTTGCTGAAAAATGAATGTAAGCTACTTCCTCGAAGAATCAATAGTCCTGATATAAAAGAAAAATAAACATAATTGAAGCATTAAAAAAAAAAGGCTCCATCCTGGGTGACTGAAGGACTCCACTCTTCCCCACAAATTCCCCTGAGTTGGATGCTGAATCCTCCTCATCTTCCAAGATGTTTGCTCCTTCGGGAAGCTCAAGGGAACCGAGAGGAGCATTCCCATCTTTGCGCTGTTATAGGACTTTAAGTGAGTACCATACTTGCCCTGTACCCGCGCTCTCCTATTAGTGTATGTCTGTGGCCTATGTGTCTTTAAGTTTGCACAGCAGGTGTTCCAGGGCTTTTTGCTGAATGACAGTGAAAAAGATGGTAAACTAGAGATTTTAGGAGGTACTGGGGATTGAACTCAGGACCTTGCACTTGCCAGGCAAGCACTTGTTCTACTGAGCTATCTCCCTGGCCCAAACTGAAGATATTTTTGAAAGCTTCATTTTATTATCAAGACCAACAAGAAGACTATCAATTATTTTCCTTTATAGAATTTTCTATCTGCTAAAAACTGGGTAGCAAACTTTTGGCCAAGGGAGATATTGTCCATTGAAAACTCATCCCAGAAATGCAGTTGGCCTCATCTGCCTTACATGGTATGGACTAACCCAGAAGACACCCCCTTGGTTAGAACGATGTCACCTACCTGTACTTAGAATGGTAGGTGAAGTAATAAAGGCTCATTTAAAGAAAAACCTCAATGAAGTAGAAGCTACGAATGGAGCTTGCTTCTGGTAAAACTTAAAATTTCAAAGTTTACTTATTTTAGAAAACAAGTGTATTATAATTCTTTTTTCTTTCTTTCTTTCTTTCTTTTTTTTTTTTTTTTGTGGAACCAGGGATTGAACTCAGGCCCTTATGTTTGCCAGGGAAGCACTTATTCTACTGAGCCATCTCCCTAGACCCTATAATTCTTGGTATGTGTAATATGAAATTACTTTTCTCGTCTCACAAACTTTATCTATATAAAGAAAAGATAGAGCTGGAGGTATAGCTCAGTGGTAGAGGCCCTGTGTTCACTATCCAGTTATAAAACCAAAAAAGGAATAGAAAGAATTTTAGCCTTGAAGTTTAACATTGTCTTTATTTTGTTTTACTTTATTTTTGCCTTTTTCAGACAGGGTCTCACTATGCAGTTCAAGCTGGCCTTGAGCTCACTTTGTAGCCTAAGCTGGTCTTGAACTCATAATCATCCTCCTACCTTGCTTCCCAAGTTCTGGGATTACAGGTGTGCAGCACTACACCTGGCTATTTTTAAAATTATATTATTATTTTTTTTAAAAGAAGAAAATATATTAAAATATTAGAAATAATACAGAATTTCACTAAACAAAATAATAAGAATTCAACAACAGTTGTTATGTTATAGAATGTTGTCTTCATTTATTTGCCCTTTTGTGTGTGTGTGTGTGTGTGTGTGTGTGTGTGTGTGTGTGTGTGGTACCAGGAATCGAACTTAGGGCCTTGCACTTGCCAGGCAGGTGCTTATGCCACTGAGCTATCTCCCTGGCCCCTGTCTTAATTTTTAAGTTTTTATATTTTTAAATTTTTTTATGGCCTGCTGAGCCCACCCTGGGGGCAGGGGACGTGTGCCATGTGGTACCAGGGATTGAACTGTGGTACCTGCGCTTGCCTAAGCTTGCCTAAGCAGGTGCTTTAGACCACTGAGCCATCTCACTGGCCCTTACTTGGTTTTTGGGACAGGGTCTCACTATGTTGTTCTGGCTGAACTCACTATGTAGCCCTGGCTGGCCTTGAACTCACAGCAATCTTCCTCCCGAGTTCTGGAATTACAGGCATGTGCCATTATGCCCAGCCATATTTATTTTATTTTTATTTTTTTGAGACAGGGTCTCATTGTACAGTTTAAGCTGGCCTTGAACTCACTATGTAGCTCAGGCTGGTGTCAAACTCATGGCAATCCTCCTGCTTCAGCCTCCCAAGTGCTGGGATTACAGGTGTACACCACCACACTCAGCACAGTACTATGTCTTTATTGTAGGGATTACATAGTTAGAAATTATTATTTTGTAAAGTTATGGGCCTAAGAAAATATTTCAGCTTTAATTGGTAAAACCAGTCTGTAGATATACACGATTTCTTTCCTTTTGGTGGCACTCTCAATTTCAAAATGAATACTCGGTGTTAGAGAATATGTAACTGTCCTCATTTAATACTGTCTTCTTTTAAAGCTCATTTTTTCCTTTCAGTCTGCACTTGTAGTACATTTCCAAAATGATCAGTAAATAGCACTTATTAGATGGTAAATTGTCCTGAGCTAGGATCTGCATGAGGTTAAATCACTACCTGTTAAGAGCCTGCAACACACACACACACACACACACACACACACACACACACACCCCAAGTAGAAAGCTGCACGGAATGACCCAATACAACAGAGCAAGTCGCCCCTGCAAGAGCCACCTCCACCCTTTACTCTTGATGGTTGGGAATGGGGAGAACAACCTAACCCCTTTCAAAATAAGTCCCTATTGTCATTTTAATTCTTCTGTTGTGGCGATCCTAGGAGCCCTTTAATTGTGTTCCAAACGGGGGTCTGTTCATATATTTTCCTCTATTCACGATCCACTGAAGTTGATAAACTTTAGAAACTGAGCTGCTTTGTTGATCAGAATCTGCTATGCCCTCGGCCTCTATATCAGTAAGTGTGCTTCTGTGTAACTATCTTTTTACAGTCGTAAGAGAAATAAACATATAAAATAAATGCATCTCGATGCATAGCTGCGCAGGACTACAGATGTTTTATTAATGAAAATGAATCCGGCTTTTTGTAAGTCATGACAGCAATATAACATTTCATTGTTGGGTTCTGTGCTAGACAGTCCCTGCTGTTCTTCCATAGAAATTCCTGCAATGCTTAATGGACATCTGGAAGAATTCAGCCAATTAATCGAATTCACGTAGGAGCTAGGCTAATGGCTGTCTGAAAGGCAGATTACATTAAATCAAACTTGCAATATGAATGAAAGCACTTAATCATACATGCAACATTCATTAGATGCAACACAGCAAGTGTTTTGATTACTTTAATGAAAGATCAGGTAAAGTGCATCAGCTGAACAGATTGAAAAGACAGCATGCTTACAAATGTTTGATTATGCGGAATATCAACAGAAACAGTGCCAGTAATTTATAGCAAAACATATTTAGAGATGTCTAGAGCTGGTGAACTCGGCGAAATTGGGAGCCTGTGCTCAACGCAATAATTAATATATGATAAAACTTTAATCAGGTATCAGGAAATGACAGAGATCAACAGAAGTTTAGTGATTTATGGGCACTGGGGGCCATTACATTTCGAATGACTTGAAATCTATTTGAACCCCCATTTCATTTATTTTCAGGTACACAGTTATTTTTTATGAGGTACTTGGTTCTTAAGGAATTGTGATAGGAATTGTGAGAAGGAATTGTGATACTAAGAACAGTGTATTATGGAATAATTAACTTTGTGTTTGGGGCCAGAAATTGAAGGTTTTTTTGTTCGTTTTTTGTACTGAGACATTGAATCCTATATTTCACAATGAGCTATGTCCCCAGACATTTTTAATTTTTTTTTTTTTGAGGAAGTGGGGTTTGAACTCAGATCCTTGCACTTGCCAGGCAAGCACTTATTCTACTGAGCTATGTCCCCAGCCCTCCATTTTTAAAATTTTGAGGTAGGATTTTGCTAAGTCACCAAGATACTCTGACTGGTCACAAATTTGCCATCTTCCTGCCTCTGCCTTTCAGATTAGGATTACAGGCACGGTCACCTGTGCCCAGGTAAAATGATATTCTGTTTATTAAGACAAAGTCTTGCTATGAGTTCAGGCTGACCTTGAATCCACTATGTAGTTAGCCTCTAATTTGCAGTTATCCTCCTGCCTCAGCCTCCCAAGTGCTGGGATTACAGGTCTGAGCCACCCTGCTCAGCTCAAATGAGATTCTTAATAGCTCTTCCTATTCTCTAGAGTCATGAATATTTTCTATTTCTTTTCATTAATTATCCCATTGACTCCCCCTTAATATTCTGTTAAAAAGTTTATAAAGTACATTTCTAGGAAGTAGCATGACTTGATAGAGGAGGAGTCGTGTTAGAGACTCAGAGAAGATCAACTACAAACACAGCAAACTGGAGGAAGGGGAGGGACGCACATCCTGTGGCAAACACGCATTTTGAAAGAAGAGGCTCGTAGACCAAATATAAAATACTCTTTCTACATAAAATTAATTGTCTTGTAACATTTATAATGTGATAAGCAAATGCAATTTGCAGCTTTTTAGAGAAAACAAAGAATGGATATATAAGTAATGCCCTTTTATGTATTACATGTAATAAAGTGAATTTTACAATCTATGCACTCATAAAATTTGTATTTCATATAATTAACTGTTTCCCTCTGGAAGCACTTTTCCCTCTCTTTCTGAATCAGTGTATGTTTGCAATATCATAATAAATACATTTACGGAGTTCCGGTCGTAGGGGAGACGCCGCCGTGGTTGCCACCATCCCGGGGCTTTCTGGCTCTTTTCTCTTCGCCTTAAATTCGGGTGTCTTTTATGAATAATCAAAAGCAGCAAAAACCAACGCTATCGGGCCAGCGTTTTAAAACCAGAAAAAGAGATGAAAAAGAGAGATTTGACCCTACTCAGTTTCAAGACTGTATTATCCAAGGCTTAACTGAAACTGGTACTGATTTAGAAGCAGTAGCTAAGTTTCTGGATGCTTCTGGAGCAAAGCTTGACTACCGCCGATATGCAGAAACCCTGTTTGATATCCTGGTTGCTGGTGGGATGCTGGCCCCGGGTGGCACCCTGGCCAATGACATGATGCGCACAGACGTCTGCGTGTTTGCAGCTCAGGAGGACCTGGAGACCATGCAGGCGTTCGCTCAAGTTTTTAACAAGCTAATCAGGCGCTACAAATATCTGGAGAAAGGTTTTGAAGATGAGGTGAAAAAGCTGCTGCTGTTCTTGAAGGGTTTCTCAGAGTCGGAGAGGAACAAGCTGGCCATGCTGACTGGTGTGCTTCTGGCCAACGGGACGCTCAACGCTTCCATCCTCAACAGCCTCTACAATGAGAATCTGGTGAAAGAAGGGGTTTCCGCAGCGTTTG